TTCCTATCTTAAGGATTGTAAAACCTTGTGTCTAATTTAAAGATTAGGTTTATTGAATCTTGATTACCTTACTTTTTATTAGCAAAGTCTGAAATTGACATACTTTCCTGAGATCATACTTTGAGTTCTTCAACAAACTCCTATGTTCAACACCAAAACTGTTTTAACAGTTATGTAGTTTTTTCTCTAAGAAAATAGTTTAAAGCTTCTATTTAGAACAAAAACTAAGTTTAGCCTCAAATTCTAGAACTAAAACTAGGTTTAACCTCAAATTCTCAAACTAAATTTTGGCAGAGTTTCGCCTTACTTTTCTGTGTTTCCTGAGCTATCCTTAGCTCGTTTTATCCGTTACTTCATCTTCTAGCATAACTAACAATCTTTCTCATACAATTTAATCAACTTAGGAACTATTCTCTAGGGTTTTATCAAACTTCTCACAAGGATTTCATAGTTAAAAGTTGCTAGAAACATAATCTAACAGCTTAAAATTCATCCTTTAAACACTAAACTTTCTATTCCTTCATCAATTGAAACTCAATCATCAACTTAGCAAACTTTCTCCATAATCTCTACCACATCAAAACCATTAAGCGAAGGTAAGAAAAAGGAGAGGAAAATTGAAATCTCGCCTTAGAAGAATGAAAAAAGAAACTCCGAAATCACCAATCCTCGGTAGTTCCATCGATTCTCGCATAAAAATTACTTTTCTTCACTTTTGGTTATTTTCTTCTTCTTCTCTCTCTTGGATGAACAACCACGGTTCTTGACATGAAAAAGAGAGTGTTTAATTATGTTTCTACACTTAAACACGTTGGAGAAGAAAAGTAGGGGTCTAAGTGCAATTTCCTAACTTTTGGGGGTCCTTTCTGCAAAAATCCATCAAAATATCTCTTCTTGGCTTCTTGTACAAGCTTGGCAGGCCACCTCACTAAGCAAGTGGCATGATCTCAGCCCTTCATCTAAAATCTCAACCATTGATCATTTAATAATTATCTTATTTTAGTTTATCTTAATTTCCTGTCCAGTGCGCGTTTTATCTGCATTTTTCAGACAGTTGGTCAACTTAGTCAACTTTGACCATTCTTGCCTAGCGTTTGAGAGTGACATTTTGGAAGACTCTTGGTGAAAAATCTTTGACTCGGTCAACTTAAATCAGTCGAAACTCTAATTTTCTCAGTTCAACCTTCTGGATCCCTCTTTCGTCCGTTTTTCGTTCTGATCATTTCTAAAACCCTGAAATTGATGTTTTTCAATTCTTTTTCACTTCTTAACCTTAAGATTCATGTGTTGGCCCACTTATGGGTTTAACACAGTACTCTGCATATCCTTCCTTATTGCAGTCTAAAAGTCGGTAACGGTATCTTACATAACTTAAATTTCTAATTGTTTACTTGATGTCATCTTGCTTACATAAGCAAGGTTTAGTGAACACTTGGTAATCACCCATTAATGTTCTATTCTTATAGCTATTCTTATTACTTCATACTAAATTTTGAGAATTTACTTAGTTGACATGAAATTTCAATTCCGGACTTTGTCAACTTCTGAACTCATATTGCATCTAAATTTCTTTACTGAAACACCACCCCTTTAATTTCCTCTTATCTGTTTGGAAGTAAAGGATTTTCTCTTTAAATGTTAGAGTATTTCTCTATACACTACTAACATTATACTACACTAAGAGATTCCTAAGATTAGGAGTCTCCAATTGTATGTGCACTGAGAATTCTTCTGCCTTAATTGCGGTAAGAATTTATCAACTGAATTCACTCATTCTTAAAATATGAACTAATCATAAAACTTGCTACATAATTTAATAATACTAATATTAATTCCATAAATCCTTCAGTCACAAAATATGACAGTATATTACTGAGAAAAGTCATTGACTTAAATAAATAAATTTACATTATTTAATTCTAGGATTTTCTTGGTCATTACAATGGCCACTAAGTAGGTTCGTTACAGTTGGTATCATAGCACAGTTATAGTTAAGTAACGGCCACTAGGTAGGGTCGTTACATTAAGACCGCTCACCGGTCACCATCAAAGGTGTACAACGCCATTTAAAAACATAAAAATACATATATATACATTTTTCATCAAAACGTCATCATATGAAATATTAAAGGTGTCATAACATCATCATCAACATCAAAATCATATACTTCTCAATTCTTCAATTCATGTTGTAGGTGAGAGTGTACTTACATAAATGCCTTACTTAACCTTTTTAAATTGCCCAACGGTGACACGACGAATGAGGTTCTCGGGTGCTTACTTCAAAAATTGTTCATGCCATAAATCATAAATATAATAAAATTAAAAAAATATTAATTCTCAAATCCATCAATCATATTAAAATAGCACGGAAAAGGCCAATTCCATCATTTAATAACATCAAGATTCAAAAATCCCAGTAATTACATAAAATTTCCAAATCATACAAAAACTGACAGCCTAACCTTTATCTCTTTAAAAATTTATAACAAATCATAAAAAAACTCAGAACGACCTGAAACTAATTACAAATGAAAATAGACATCAAGATCTTTCTAACGACACCTTATTTGTTAAAAATGGAGTTCGTTTTTTCCCTCAAACACTGTTTTAAAATCAGAACATAAAACCTGAGAAAATTCCAGCACTTAAACTTGGACGAAAATTCACCAAAAATTCTATACAATACAAAACTATCATCCTCAACATGTATATACAGCAATCCATTTATTATTCAGCCCTATAACATGTTTCTAATACTTAAAGAAATATAATTACGTGCATATATATACATCTTATACCTACAAAATTACAATCAAAAGAATCACATGACCCAATCATATAAATTATCATAAATAAATCCTAGCATGTTTCTAAGTTGTACAAGAACCGATAATTCTATTATTAACTCAATTACCAAAATCGTCAACCCCTATAGCATGCTTTCTAGGAAGATACAAAACAAAACAATCAAATAATAACTATGACTAACATAGAGTCTAATAGAAACCTACACTCAAAATCATGGAATCAAATTAAAAACCGAATAGCCTTGAATCATAGAACTCATATTGATGTTATAGCCTCACTCATCATCATCTCATAAGTACGTCTCTCCTCTTTCTCAAACAAAAATCATCATTGACAATCAAGTCACCCTTGAAGAATTCTAACCCAAAAGAATAAATAATAAGAGGAATCATACATTAACGATCTCCTATTTTATCTTGACTGCTAAAAGAATTCAAAAGAAAGATGAGTTTGATGGCTGATTATGGAGGCTCTCTATTGTGGTGTTCTTGAACGTGAAAGAAAGAAGAAGAAAGAGGGGAAGATAGAGAGTAAGAGTTTGAAAATGTTTATAGGTTCATAAATCATATAAAATTAAAAGGTGTTAATTTAGTATTAATTGGAGATTAATTCTGTGATTAATGACCCCTTAACATCTGGGGGAATGGCTATCATTAGGGTGTAAAGTCGTGTGGAAGGCAAATAAAAGAGTAAGGTGAACTTCTAGAATTTTCGTTCATTTTCCTGTGCAGTAATCTGATTAGAGACTGCTGGATATCTGGATGATATACTTGCCACATCTTCTTACTCTGATGTCCGATTTGCACAAATGAGAAGGCGTTGGAAAGCTTATGAAAGGCTCTATAGCTTGTATAAACTAATGGAATAATTTCAGAATTTTAAAGGTCCAAAATAGAGCTAGAAATTAACGTCATAGAAATGGTTCTTTTGTCTAAAAAGAAAAATCAAGAAAAAACTTAGAATTTTCCCAAGACACTTATTCCATGCATTATAACATGAAGTACATCATATCATGAACATATATACATTTATCAAATCATCAAAAAATAACATATATATATAATTTCTATAAAATGGCATGAAGTTTTTCCCTTTTTCTGAAGTATAGTTTAGTCATTTTAAATGTCAAAATCAATTATTGACCGAGATAAGATAAAGATTTGTGTATTAAATATAATTTGAAGGTATACATTTGATGAGATAAAAAATCAAAGATATAAATTTTAAATAAACCTAAAATACAGGGTATAAAAATATAAATATCCCAAAAAATTTCAATGGTAAAAAGACGCAAATCAAAAAATCATTCAATTACTTTCAGCCGTCCTGAGGTGAAAAAGAGTAAAAACTGAAAGAAAGCAAGGACATAAAAGTTAAAAGAACAGCGTTAAAATTTTACTCGTAACCCCGCTCCTGTTGAATATTTATCATAGAACGCACTAAAACGCGTTCTTCGTTTATTCTTTTTTGTCATATTCTCCTGTACGTACTCAAGGGAAAGAACAATCATTTGGTAAACAGATCACAATCAGTTGAAGACCTATAAATTGTTTCTTTGTTGTAGCTCTAGTTTACTTGTCAAATACGTTACAGTTTTCATAACTAAATGAAGATTAAAATATTCCATATAACTTGAAATTTTCATACTTTTCAACTTGATTGCCTCTCCTTGACCAACAAATCAATCTTCCAAACATTCACGAGCCATACATTCGTTGAATCTCAATAGTTGAGAAATTGCTAACAAAAGGAGCCAAAAGTTTACTCAAAACTATAAGCATGCCGGCCAACTAAGAAAAGCTGAACACTAAAGAACGAATTAAGGAATCAAAGAAACCAGATAGAAGGTTGAATACTGTACTCTTCTGGGCACGAATTGACGGTGAAGAAAATGATGCACGGAGAAACCTTCAATTGGGCACCACAGTCTACATTCTGTACCACAATATCACGCTGCAGACGTGTATGAACAAGTTTAAAATAATTTTTGATCTAGTCAGTTCTGCAAACCAGTAGCAACAAGGTGGTTAAGAAGCTTCGGCAAGGTTCATACAATTTGTGTAGATATTGTTGGAACAACTTAAATACAGGATTTTTCTTCCTCCGGTTTCTCAATTCACTTCACTGTAACTAAATAACAATTTTAGCACCTTAATGTGTTCAGCTTGTATGCAAAAATATTCGCTGCCATGGATACCAAGACCAACAGTGGATTTGTGCTTCTTTTTCTCCTCATATGCTTGTTTCTCACGTTCAATATCTGCCTTGGACGTGATACAATCTCTGCAAATGAATCCCTCTCCGGAGACGAATCCATTGTATCCGCAGGTGGAGTTTTTGTGCTGGGATTCTTCAAACCAGGTAATTCTTCAAACTACTATATAGGCATGTGGTACAAACAACTCACTTCCCAGACAATTGTTTGGGTGGCAAATAGAGACAAGCCAGTTTCAGATAGATTTTCTTCAGAGTTGAAAATCTCTGGTGGAAATTTAGTTCTTTTCAATGAGTTCAAAATCCCAATTTGGTCCACTGACGTGAACTACAGCGGCTCTGCTTCTGTACAAGCAGTTCTTCATGACAATGGAAACCTCGTCTTAAACGATGGATCCAATTCGTCAATACCTTTATGGCAAAGTTTTGATCATCCGGCTCACACATGGCTACCTGGTAGTAAACTTTCTTATAACAAAATTACCAAAAAACACCAGCGTCTCACTTCATGGAAGAGTTCCGAGGACCCTGCCCCGGGCCTCTTCTTTGTTGAGCTAAACATAAGTGATAACTCCTATAACATACTCTGGAATTTGTCTAAGAGATATTGGACTAGTGGATCTTGGAATGGGACGACTTTTAGCGCGATGCCTGAGATGGTGCGCACTTATATCTTTGTTTTTGAGTTTGTTTCGAATGATAACGAAATCTATTTCACGTATTCGATTAACAAAACCTCTCCTACCCAAATATCTCGGACTGTGGTGGATGTTTCTGGGCAGGTTAAGCAACTGAGTTGGATGGCAACTAACGAATGGAACTTGATTTGGAACCAACCGAGAAAACAATGCGAGGTTTATGCTTTTTGCGGGGCATATGGAAGCTGCAATGAGGACCCGTTACCCTCCTGTAGTTGTTTGACGGGGTTTAAGCCAAAGGTACAGAGTAATTGGGATTTGAAGGATTATTCTGATGGGTGCTTCAGAATTACAGAACTGCAATGTGGAAACAACAGTGTTGCTAATGGTGAGAGATTTCAATTTCTACCGATATTCAACATGTCATTGCCCGATAATCAACAGTCTGTGGGAGCAGGGAGTTTAGGAGAATGCAAAGAAAGCTGCTTAACTAAGTGCTCTTGCACTGCTTATGCCAATGACAGCAATGGTTGTTCAATTTGGATAGGAGATCTCTTAAATTTGAAGCAGCAGGCAGATAATGACAGGCATCCTCTCTATCTTCGATTGACAGCTTCAGAAAAACGATCTTCACGAAATGCAATGTTCTATATTGTCTTGTTTGGGATTATAGCTGTCATGATGATACTCACTTGCACTGCTTGTTCAGTTTATTACTGGAGAAGAAAAAAGGCGGTCAATAAACAAGGTAAAAACAATCCAAACATCTACACTCAGATATATATATGACACTTTATGTAATATTTTTTGTTTCTTTCATATATTATTATAGAAAAGTGACTTGAAATATTAAATTTTAAATCAGGTAACAGGAGAAGCATTCAGGCAGAACAGGTCCTAAGCTTATATTATAGCGAAAAGCGTATCAGAGACTTCATGAATTCAAGCCAATTCAGAGAAGAAGAAAGGAAAGGCATAGAAGTACCATTTGTTGTTTTGGAAAGTATACTAGCTGCTACAGATAATTTTTCAGAGGCAAATAAACTTGGACAAGGAGGATTTGGCCATGTTTATAAGGTAATGTGCCGATGCCTTATCATAATGCCGACAACGCTATTTTTCATGTACTTTCTGGCTTAGAGTACGTATAAGATGTTTGTGATAACCCCCAGTCAGGTTTACATATGTCAGGCGTGCCAAGAAGGGGCGCTAGGTGTTGGGTGACGTCTCTATGGGCTGGGGAGACATGAGACATCAGGAATATATGTGTTAGGGATGTTTTCTGTGCAGGGGCACTAGTGTCTTTTCCTTTTGGTTAATAAAAGAGGGGTCGGTTAGGTGGTGTGGCTTTCATGTCGTTTTTGGGTGAGTGACTGGAAAGGGGAGAGAGCTGGACCTCTTGAACGTCCATGCGAGTCTATATCGGTGCTTGGGAAAAACCAGTATCAATACAAATTTTTTTCATTCTATTTTTCTCTTGATTTCTCGCAGTTTCTATTGATTCTTGTTATTCCTAGCTTGAGCTTACCAATTTGGTATCAGAGCATCTCGATCTGGGAATGGTGAACAACATGAAAACAAGAGGCAGGGCTGAGGGCATAAGGGGAGGCCTGGGCGAAGCACAGCCGGAGACAGTGGATACGCAGATCTCGGCAGTGGAGGAGCGGATCGAGCAAGTTCAAGGAGGACTACTGAAGCTGGAATTGGTGGAAAGGAGTTTGACGTTGGTATTGGAGAAGATTACGGGCCTTGAACGATTGGAGCAGGTTCTTCGGAAGATGGAGGAAACGGTATGGGTGGAGGTCCCACCGACGGGCAAGGGGAAGGCGAAGGAGCCAGATCCATTGATAGATCTGGGTTTGACGGCTGTAAAGGGGGGAATATCGGTACCCACTCCGCCTTCAAGGTCGGCGACACCGTTTATGAAGTGGAGAGAACGGAGGGGGGTTCGAGTGGAGGACGCGAGGGGATTCGGAAAGGGGAATTTCCGTCTCATCGCCTAGAGATGCCAATCTTCGAGGGGGTGAACCTGAAGGGATGGGTCTATCGGGTAGAACACTATTTCACCCTCAATCGCTTGACCAAAGAGGAGAAGTTGTCTGCGGTGGCGATCGCATTGGACTGGGAGGCATTAGCTTGGTTTCAGTGGGAGGAAGGACGTCAGCCCATGAGAAGCTAGTCTGAAATGAAGTCGAATCTGCTAGATCGGTTCCAGTTGACTCAAGAGGGCTTGAGTTGCGAGAAGTTTCTAGCCTTGCGGCAGGAGGGATCGGTCCGGGAATTTCGGCGCCTATTTGAGGTCCTAGCAGCGCCTCTTACGGGGGTATCGGAGCAAGTGCTAGAGAGCACGTTTATCAATGGCCTCAAACTGAAAATACGCGCGGAGGTGAGAATGATGCGGCCCAACGGATTAGAAAAATTATGGAGCTAGCTCAGCGGGTGGAGGACCGAAACTTGTTGTTGCGTCCGGCGAGGGTGATGGGAAATCCAAGCACTACCCGGAACCCAGCTCTAACCTATGGCCAAAGTATGTGTGCACAGCTCCCTTCAATCCCACGACCTATCCACGATTAGGTAAGACCCCAGGGCCGAAACCAACTCTTCCATTCAAACGTTTGACTGATTTTGAGCTTTAACAAAAGAAAGAAAAAGGACTATGTTTCCATTATGATGAAAAATATTCAATCGGGCATCAATGTAAGAACAAGGACTTGCATGTCCTAGTAGTTAACGATGAGGTTGAAGGACCCGACGGGGAGGAGGGAAATGGCACTGAGGAAGCCCCCAAGGAACAAGTAATTGCAGATATGTTGAAGCTCTCAATCAACTCCGTGGTGGGGTTGGTGAGCCCAAAGACTATGAAGGTGAAGGGCCGAATTGCACAACAGGAAGTCGTGGTGATGATTGATTGTGGGGCAACCCTCAACTTCATTTCTACCAATCTTGTGCAGAAATTGGCCATTCCACAACTGCTGACCAATGGGTATGGAGTGTTGATGGGCACAAGATTCACGGTTAAAGGTGAGGGCCTATGTAATGGGGTGGTCTTGAAGTTGCAAAACATTGAGATTATGGAAGATTTTCTTCCCCTCGAATTGGGGTGTTCCGACGTCATATTAGGGATGAAGTGGCAGGAGACGTTGGGGGGTATGCAAGTGAATTGGAAGATGCTTACTCTGAGATTTAGGATGGGCGGTGTGGCAGTAACACTACAGGGGGACCCGAGCCTTTGCAATTCCTTAGTGTCCTTAAAGTCGATGATGAAAGCCATTCAGGAAGAGGGGTCGGGGGTGTTCCTGGAGCTCGGTAGTTTGGAAGTAGCAACGGTAGGGAGCTTGAACCCAGTGCCGACACCATTGGAGGGATTGCTACGGCAATATGATTAGGTATTCGAGTGGCCAGCCGAGTTGCCTCCCCGACGAGCTCGCGATCACGCAATCACGTTGCAGCCTGGCACGGCTCCGGTGAATGTTCGACCATACCGTTATCCCCATGTTCAAAAGGGGGAGATCGAAAGGCTGGTAAGGGAGATGTTGGCAGCATGGATTATACAATCGAGCACAAGTCCCTATTCCAGCCATGTTTTGTTAGTCAAGAAGAAAGATGGTAGTTGGCGTTTCTGTGTGGACTATCGGGCTTTGAATAAGGTAACGGTGCCGGATAAGTTCCCCATTCCGGTCATCGATGAGCTGCTCAATGACTTACACGGGGCGCAGATTTTCTCCAAGCTTGATTTGAAATCGGGATACCACCAAATATGAGTGAGGGAGGAGGATGTGCCCAAAATGGAGTTTCGAACCCATGAAGGGCACTATGAATTCCTAGTAATGCCCTTTGGGCTTACAAATGCCCCGGCAACTTTCCAAGCCCTTATGAATGCAATCTTCTGCGACTGTTTACGCCAGTTTATTCTTGTATTTTTTTATGACATTTTGGTGTGTAGTCATACTTTGGAGGAGCACCATGCACACTTGGCGAGAGTTTTGGAGATCTTGGCATCTCACTAACTTTATGCTAACAAAAAGAAGTGTCAGTTCGGAAATAGGCAGGTGGAATACTTGGGTCACATCATCTCAGGTGATGAAGTCATGGCAGACAGGACCAAGGTTGAGGCGATGCTACATTGACCGGTTCCACAAACGTTACGCAAGCTGCGTGATTTTTTAGGGTTGACGGGATACTACTGTCGCTTTGTTAAAGGATATGGGGAGTTGGCTTGGCCTTTGACCACCCAGCTGAAAAAGGATAGTTTTCACTGGGAAGAGGAGGCTAACACGGCCTTTAATAAGCTCAATGAGGCTATAACCAGTGTTACAGTGCTTGCCTTGCCCAATTTTTCCATGCAAGAACAATGTCTCATCGCTTACTACAGCCACGTTCTTCCGACAAGCTCACAGTTGAAGTCGGTTTATGAATGGGAGCTCATGGCAATTGTATTCGCAATTCAAAAGTGGCAGCATTATCTTTTGGGGCGTCGCTTTGTGGTGCGTACGGACCAATGCAGCCTGAAATTCCTTTTGGAACAGCGCATGGTGAGTGAGGAGCATCAAAAATGGTTGGTTAAATTGATGGGCTTTGATTTTGAAATCCAGTATAAGCCCGGGTTGGAGAACAAAGCGGCCGATGCTTTATCCCGCATGGATTCTACCGCCGCTTTGTTGGCCATGACGCTGCCCCATGTCGTGCAGTTGGAGGATGTTAATGCACAGGTCCTCGCAAATGAACGGCTGCGGGCTATCGCAGAAAACCTTAAACAGAACCCCATAGCACGGCCCGGGTACTCCCTGGTGCAAGGCCGCCTGCTGTACATGGATCGCCTGGTGTTGCCTAAAAGCTCACCTCTCATTGGCTTGCTTTTGAAGGAGTACCATGACAGCGGTGTGGGGGGCCATTCGGGGGTGCTGAAGACGCTCAAATGGATTGCCACTTTATGGTATTGGGAGGGAATGAAAGGGGATGTTCATCGCTACGTTGCCAATTGCTTAGTGTGCCAACAGTACAAGACTTCGACATTGGCTCGCGGTGGATTCTTACAGCCATTACCCATTTCAAAGATGATTTGGGAGGATCTCTCCATGGACTTCATCGAGTCCCTTTCAAAATCGGAGGGAGCGGACACAATCTTGGTGGTGGTGGACCGATTGAGCAAATACGCCCATTTCATTAGCCTAAAACACCTATTCACGGCTCCAACAGTAGCTATTGCGTTCATCCGTGACGTGGTCCGACTTCATAGGGTGCCTAAGTCAATTGTCTCCGACTGAAACAAGGTGTTCATGAGCCATTTCTGGAGGGAGTTATTCAAATTACAGAGGACTGCCTTAAAGTATAGCACGGCTTACCACCCGCAGACCGACGGGCAAACGGAGGTTGTAAATCGGTGCTTGGAGACATACTTGCGTTGCTTCGCAACAGACAAGCCTAAGCAGTGGGCTTGCTGGTTGGCATGGGCTGAGTATTGTTACAATACGGCTTACCACACGTCCATTGGCACCACTCCTTTTCGTGTGGTTTACGAGCGTGATCCTCCTTCCCTACTTCGCTACTTGCCGGGATCTATAGCTAGCTCGGCTGTTAAGTTGCAGTTGAAGGATCGGGATGATATGTTGACCGAGTTAAATCGTCATTTGGAGCGCACAAAACAACGGATGAAGGCGCGCGCTGATGGCCATCGACGCGACGTCCGTTTTGAGGTCGGCGATATGGTGTTTCTTAAGCTTCGTCCCTATCGGCGTCGCACCTTGGTGTCCCGCCCATTCGAGAAGCTGGCCCCGCACTACTATGGCCTTTACCGTATTCTCACTCGCATTGGTGTGGCCTATAAGCTGCACCTCCCTGATCAGGCCATCATCCATCCGGTTTTCCAGGTCTCGTAGCTGAAGTCTACCCTGCTCACTTCGGTGCCGGCTTCTTTACTTCCCCCACAGCTAGCTGATGACTTGGAGCTCATGGTGGAACCGGATGAAGTTCTCAGGTTGCGCCAGGGCCCTGCTGCTGGGGGCGCCCAGCTCAAGGTATTGATTAAGTGGAAGGGGCTGCCCTCGTTCGAGGCCACTTGAGAGCCCTATACAGTGGTGCAATAACAATTCCCTTCCTTTCACCTTGAGGACAAGGTGACTTTGTGGGCGGAGAGTATTGATAAGCCCCCAGTCAGGTTTACATATGTCAGGCGTGCCAAGAAGGGGCGCTAGGTGTTGGGTGACGTGTCTGTGGGCTGGGGAGACATGAGACATCAGGAATATATGTGTTAGGGGTGTTTTTCGTGCAGGGGCACTGGTGTCTTTTCCTTTTGGTTAATAAAAGAGGGGTCGGTTGGGTGGTGTGGCTTTCATGTCGTTTTTGGGTGAGTGACTGGAAAGGGGAGAGAGCTGGACCTCTCGAACGTCCATGCGAGTCTGTATCGGTGCTTGGAAAAAAATCAGTATCAATACAAATTATTTTTCATTCTATTTTCCTCTTGATTTCTCACAGTTTCTGTTGATTCTTGTTATTCCTAGCTTGAGCTTACCAGTTTGCTTGAAAAAAAATTTCAGGGTAGATTTCCAGCAGGGCAAGAAATTGCTATAAAGAGGCTCTCAAGTGGTTCTGGACAAGGCTTACAAGAATTTAAGAATGAAGTTTTGTTGATTGCTAAACTTCAACATCGGAATCTTGTTCGCCTTTTGGGCTATTGTGTTGAAGGAGATGAAAAAATGCTGCTCTATGAATATATGCCCAACAAAAGCTTAGACTCTTTCCTATTTGGTGAGTTGTTTTAGCTCAAGTTTAGCAATATTCACCCATGATAACAATCTTTCTTTTCTTTCCTTGTTTTTTTTTTTTTTTTTTTTTTTTTTTTTTTTTTTTTTTAGATATGATAAGTGATTGTCAATTTTAAAGACATTGATAACTAGATTTTAGTGCTGAATACTACTTCACTTCAAGGAAAAAAAAAAAAAGGGAGTGTATAGTAATTTAATTTAAGACTGGATAGATCAATTAACGTAAGAATATTGGAACCAATGTTTGAGAGGTATTGTGAAAAGGTCAAAATGTTTTCTAAATTCTTTCGTAATGGAAATTAATCCAGATCGAAACATATGCATATTGCTGAACTGGGAGATCCGTTTCCACATCATATTGGGAATTGCTAAAGGGCTTCTTTATCTTCACCATGATTCAAGGTTGAGGATTATCCATAGAGATTTGAAAACTAGCAATGTCTTACTTGATGAAGAAATGAACCCAAAAATTTCAGACTTTGGCTTAGCAAAGATTTTTGGAGGGAAACAGATGGAGGCAAGCACAAACAGAGTAGTTGGGACGTAGTAAGATTTTATTTTATTTTACTTTATTTTATTTTATTTTTGAACTGGGTGGTCTCCTATCATCAGTATTTGTCTGTTGGATTTTAATTGGATAGTTCATATCACATAATCATGCACCTTATTCACTAACCATCCAACTAATTGTCGTCATGAATGCAGTGGTTATATGTCTCCAGAGTATGCACTACATGGGTTATTCTCAATCAAATCTGACGTTTTTAGTTTCGGGGTCGTCATACTTGAGATCATAAGTGGAAAAAGGAACACTGGATTTTACCAATCAGAAGAAGCTTCAAGTCTTTTAGATTATGTAAGTATTCTACGGCATTTTTCCTTTAAAGCCTACTAGTTTTGTCTGTAGCAATCTGAACAGGTTTTTCTAATGTATGCAGGCATGGAAATTATGGAAAGAAAACAAGGCACTGGATCTGATGGACCCAACATTGAGCGAGACATGCAATGAAAATGAGTTCTTGAGGTGTTTCAATGTAGGACTGTTGTGTGTACAAGACGATCCAAATGATCGACCAACCATGTCAAATGTGCTCCTCATGCTTGGAACTGAAAGTGCAAGTCTTCCAAGTCCAAAACAACCAGCCTTTGTTGTCAGAAGATCTCGTTCTAGCAGAGCTTCTCCGGGTGATAAACCATCGTCGACAAACGGGCTAACCAATACCTTAAACGAAGGCCGATGACAAGTTAGACTCCGTTCAAGCAGGCTCCTTAGTCCTGCAGATCAGAAGCTTTAGTACTTCATCTGCTTCTTCTTCTATACTTGTAATCCGGAATACGATTAACGATTTAGTTTCAAATTAATTTGATGGCGCATTTGTGCATATGTGGTCTTTATTGATCTGCTTCATAGTATTAATCATTGCAGAAATTTGACAGAAAGAAGAATTTGGAATGTCGAATATGAATATCTCTTTCAAACAGTTGGTTGAGTTAAATATCGGTTACGTGCAAGTAAACCGAGAGCTTACTGTATGGAATCGATGAACAGTTCTCCACATGCGTGCTAATACTTTTCTACCAAGGATGTCGATACTATCCAATTACTCTCAGTTAATTAAAAGACATCGATGTCAGTTAATTAAAAGACACGAGTCAAAACATCATTCAACTACTTTTCCTCCATCCTTTAATGAATGAAAAAAAAAAAAAAAAAAAAAAAAAAAAAAAAAAAAAAAAAGAGCAAAAAAGAAAAGAAAGCAGGGACCAAAAAAATTGTAAAGAACGACCTTAAAATTTACCATGTAAGCGAGCTTCTGTTGAATATTAATTTAAGTAATCTTTGAACGCAACTAAAACACGTTCTCTGTTTATTCTTTTTTTTTTTTTTTAATATTCTCTTGTCAAGTAAAAGAACAGTCTTTCGGTACAGATCATTTGAGGATCTATAATTGTTTCTTTGTTGTAGCTGTATTGTACTAGTCAAATATATGTCGCAATGTTCATAACGAAATGAAGATTGAAATCTTCCAAATAAATTGAAATGTTCACATTTTTATGAAAATGTATATTTTGTGTATAATTTGAGAAAGAGTACATTGAACAAAAGAGGATTCGACCATCAACTTAGTATGATCTCAAAATCATAATAACGCGCGTTTAAATAAATTAAATCCCATTAATATTGGTGAAATTATTATTCCTAGAATTTCCATAATTGTCATTTAATCTTTTAAATATATGCATAGCTTAGTATTTATTTTATTACTTTGATATTTTAAATTTTGTCGTTTTAATCAAAATCAATCTGAAAAGTTCATCTTTCGTTTCCTCAAATAAAGTAAAAATTACTCAATTTTGGTACTTAATAAATTTGCTATCTCTGTGTGATGATACTCTTACTCATCATTATATTACTTGTTCGATTTTGTGCACTTACAAATTAATGCAACAATGACCAAAGAACTGATAGACAAATATACGGTAACAAAAAGGACGTCATGATGGGACAAAACTTATTAACTTAAATATTTAAGAAAAATAATAATATAACAGTACAATATGTTTAGTTATTATAGCAGTATTATTAAATTAATCTATTATTGATATAGTATTACGATCGTTATTATTGTTATTAACAGTACATTTTCTTACGGCCAGTAGAGACAAAGTAAGTAAAGTTCTCACTTAAAAATACAAGTAGCAAATTTATTTTATGTATTATTATGATAAGCATTACATTTTTACTAAAAAATATTAAAAGTCTTATGAAAAGACACAAAGGAAGTACCAGCTTAAGCCATATGCTTAGAAAAATAGAAATTTGTTTAAAGGGTTGTTGTGCCCGTAAACCTATAAGAGAGCGCAAAGTTCATTAAAAGATAACAAGCCACAGGTTGGTAGTTACAGATGTTTTAAGGCTGTCAGCAGTATCCTCATGGGCCCTAAGTAAAAGACAAGATAATCAAGCACAGGCATAATTAGTTGTTTGCATGTGAGATTGCTGATTTTGCTTACTGGACATTAGTTTTAAGGGAAATAGTAGAAAATAAGTTAATATGAAAAGTTTAAGAAAGTATATAGGCCAATTATTAGTTATAGAAATTAATAGGCCATAACTTATCAAGTTATGGTTCATAATTAGATAAATTATGGACAAACTTATCAAGTTATGGTTCATAGTCAGACAAATTATGGATAATTATGGACAATAACTTGTCAAGTTATAGTTCATAACTAGACAAGTTATGGACGAAAACAATAATTTGGCCTATTTATTAACTTATGTAAACTATTAACCTATTAATTTTAATTCATCTCAAGTCTTTCGTCTATTTATCTCTTTCTCCCTAGTTTTAATATACTTGTGTTGTAGGTAAAGGGAAGTCGAACTAGCTTCAGGATGAGCAAGGTGCCAAGCCAACATGATTGTACATGTATACCCGACCTGTTCGAAGGAGGATTTTTTTTTTTTTTTTTTAAGAAGCACCAGACTATTTTAATAATTATAGGTGTTTAAACAGTTTGAGTATTATTTGTAAATAAATAAATAATGTGTGAAGTTTTGTTTTGAGATTATTATATTTATGTAACATATTATGGAACTAAAGTTTAAGTTTGTTTGAAAATTTTAAAGTCTTGTAATGAGCAGTGTTGTGCTATTTGCGATTAATAACCAATATTGTAATATTTACAGTTATTTATATAGTAATGAAATTTTTAAAGGAGGGTGTTACAGATAAAAATAAAAATGAACTTTATTTTAAGAGATAATTTTAAAAATTGTCCTTTCTATTTTCCTCAGGCACTCTTTAGATCACCATTGCAATGAAGTCCTCTTTTAAGCAGAAAAAAAAGGGGCAATTTTTTAAAATATGTTTTAAAATGGAGTCTTTTTTTTTTTACTCCTAACATTAACTCATATATTTTTACCTTTTAGACTAGAACTAGTAAAGTGGTAAAAATTTTTAAAAATTGTACTTTTAATAAGTCAAGTAATTAAGAAAGTAAATAAAAAAAAATCCAACACTTTGGAGTTTTGATTAGGTGGGTTTTCAGCTTTCAACATATTTATTATTTATTTTATTATTGTCGTTTTTAAAATAATTTTTTCTTTTAAACTTGAAGGTGAATAATTGTTAAACCGCTGCAAACCATAAACCGCAACCACACAATCTAATTAATTAAACTTACACAAAATTCTATGTTAATTAGATAATGAAAAAAAAAATCACCTAACGATGGGACACGGTTTTTTACAACTAGATATAATCATGTCATGTTAAAAAAAAATGATAAATGTAATGAAACCTAATAAAGATCTAGTTAAAAACTATGCTCTGCTAATACGACACTTGCATGATAGGCTTTTTTTTGTTACAAGAAAATATAATGAGCGCTGTCTTAAAAGAAGTGAGTGGTGAGCCCCTAAGTAAATGCCATTAGTATTTAGCTACTTAAAAAAAGAATATTCATTAAAGAAGAATCTCTTTTTTTATTTAGAAAAAAGATTATATATATGTCTAATCTCTAGTGGTAGAGGTGGTTGGTTCCACTCCAATGAACACTTGACTTCCAGATGCCATTGACGTTGACACTGTCGTTGGTTCCTTTTCTTTTTTCTTTTTTTTTTTCTTTCTTTCTTTTCCTATATTTCTTTTTCTCCGCCATGTGTGGCTAAAGTGAAGGAATCACACGGTTTACTTGTAATAAGTAAAGACTTTTTATTCTTAACTTATTGTTTCTCTCCATTTCCCAGTAAAATACTAGTTTGCAAAGTTTAGAATTCGTTCTTTTACAGATTCAAATTTATAATTTAAGTTGGGATGTAATATTTTTTAAAAATTTTAACTCTAGTAAAAAAAGTACAATATGATATTCTCTGAAAGCTTTTAACTTTAAAAATCTAAAATTAAAAACTCAAATGGAAAAAATGAATGACGCTTTAATTGATCAGCCTATAGCTATTAATATATGTTGTAAGGAAAAATCTACATTGCCACGTCAGACAATAAATAGGCGTCACGTGGCCCCTGTCATGCCACGTCAGACAGTAGACAGGCACAGACAGTTGAGGGATTAGCTTTCAAAGATGAGTGCCGTCCCAAGGCTTTTGAAAATAATCCTTGAAGAAACACTCAAGAACAACAAGTTTGTAAGGAGCAACATCCGCGATGGCGGTCGACCGATCAAACAGTCGAATCGAAGATGGTTCCGAAAATACGTAGACTACCGATGGTATGCAAGGATCGACAAGGATGAAGACTCTATCTAGCCACTCAGGCCTAGCGAAAGAGGGTAGCGTGTTCAGTCATCTGACCCCGATCCCGAGAATATCTCCTGAGGTAACATGAAAGAAATCCCTAGATTACGTGTGGACTTGAACAAAGTTAGTGGCCAAAAAAATAATTACTAGCCTATTAGCCGCCCAAAACAGACCAATGGGAAGTCATGAGAAAGTCACAAAGCCGCAATAGTAGACAGAGTAAGTAGATAAATAGTCAAAAAATGTACTGAATAGCTACAATCTTAACTGAGTAGGATGATAGGCTACTTGAAAGAAACTGTTGGGTAACCTTTTGTCTCGGTTTTCTCTAAAATGTAATCTGTGAGATATCATTTGAGAGAACTGAACCTATTATAATCAAAAGAGAAAGAAAAAAGAGAAAATTTTCTAAAAATGGACGTAGCTCTTACATTACATTCATATTCAGAGTATATATAAAATCCATACACGATCAGTTATACTTTTTAAATTGGGATTAAAAATGGCCTATTCTTGTGGACGAAAAATCACAATCAACAATATGGATACAAAGACGGCCAAGCCAAGGTTCATGCTTGGTATCGTCTTCCTATTTCTGTTTTTAAAGACTTATTTCTCATCACAAGGAGTTGATATCATCTCTGAAGGCTATGTACTATCTGGTGATTCAATCCTTCTCTCTGCAGGCGGAGTCTTCCAACTAGGATTCTTCAAACCAGGCCGTGCTCCGAACTACTACGTCGGAATATGGTTCGTCGAAGATCCTTCTCGAATGGCGGTTTGGGTGGCCAATAGAGTGAAGCCTGTCTCACTTTCATCTGAACTGAAAATAACAGATGGCAATTTAGTCCTCTTTGATGTTTGGTCCACAAATTCGAAGAACAACTCCACTACTGTACAAGAGATTCTTCTAGACACCGGAAATTTCGTCTTTAACGACATCGGAACGAATCCAACAACAGCTTTATGGCAAAATTTTGATCATCCTACTGATACGTGGCTACCTGGTGCTAAGATTAAATACAACAAAATGACCAAAAGAAGCCTAGTTTTCACTTCATGGAAGAACTCAGAGGACCCTGCTCCGGGCCTCTTCTCTCTTCAGCTAGAACCGAGTGACAACTCGTTTCGCCTGCTGTGAGCTGTTTTAGGACTTCTGATTTTTTTTTCTTTTTTTTTTTTTGGTTCCCTGGAAAAATGCCTGCCAAGGATTAATCCAGTTCTTCATTGGCTACCTAGGATTACTTTGACGATATTACTCTTCAAGTAAAACTTTAAGCCCCATACTTCAGTGGTTCTTGGTAGGAAGGTATCTCTTAGATCAGTTTTTGGCAATTGATCATATATAATTAAAGTTCTAACTAAATAAATTACCTAAAGCAGTAAATAAATAGGCATAAAAAATTAGTATCGTAGTTCGGTAACCACCTACTTTTGTGAAGCCAAGTTCAGACATTGAATCATACACTAATCCTCAACGATTACAGACATCAATCGGACTAATATAAATAAATACCTTCTCTTTAAAATTTGTTGTCGCTGTATAGAATCATTTAAATGACCTGATTCAGCAAGCACTACTCGTCTTTAAAGCTGTACAGTGAAATCCCTTCGTCTAGCAGGTCGCTCTCTCCTGAAACTTTAACTTCTTCTCCCAAAGAATAATAAACGGCTGAACTCGCTTCAACACTTCAAATCATCTTCTCCAGGAAGCCCTTGGAATGAATGATCTTGAGTTTATAGAACTTCTATTCCCTCTCTTCATGTTGGCACAATCAAAGTCAAATTTAAATTATCTCCACATTTACTCAAAATTAAAACTGTCGCACAATCTGTTCCGTGACTTGTTGCAACATCATCTGATCTTAAATTTAAAATCCGAACTCAACAATTTTACTTTGATAATCTCTGCTCTGTCATCACATATATCTTCTGCATATTATCTTTTATAAAAAAATGCACAACTTGAAACTTTTATCTTGTTCAGATCAAATCTTATTTTTAATTAAATTTTAATTCAATTCAATTTAAACTAGGATTATCTCATCAAATCTTCTTTAAAACTTTGACTCATTGTTTTTATTTTTTCAGCAACTTATCTTCTCTAAAACTCATCACTTCATCTTGAAATTCAAATACTTTGATCAGATAAATTTACTTAACACGTCACTATATTTTCAAACCTGTTTTTTAAATTTTTCTAAAAAAATTGTTGTCAAAAATTGTCAATTAAAATCCTAACAGTATCCGACATTTCGGAGAATTAAAAAACTTTCTTTGATAACAGACTTTTGCGTGCATTTGTTAAGTGACAGTTTCTGTGTTGAATGCGTTCAATTCCGCAATCTTTCAATGAACAAGCTATCCTTTAAATAAATAAATAAAAACAGATTTTTTTTTTTTTTTAGAAGAAGGTATCCTTTTAATTAAACCTTTTTTCCAAGCTCCTTTTTCTTATGTGTTTTGGGAGGCATTTCAACAGATTTGTGCTAGTCCTAAATGAAATAAATCTGGAACTGATGAATGATGATGACATAAATTAGATTTGGAATTGAACTTCTCTAGAGGGTGTACAAAGGAAATATTTTATGTTGGGAGTAACTTGATTAACTAATGTGCTTTCTAAGGTCTAAGCTCTTTTTCTTTTTCTATTTTTATTATTATTATTTTTAATAGAACTTTTTAAGGTTTAAGTTAGTTGTAATTGTAAATAACCAACTTTAACTGAGCCACCCCTGATTATCAGTTGTGGGTCCCATCTCAGATCTGGATCCATCTCTCTCTATTTCCATTACCCGTTTGTTTTCTGTATTCATCCCTGATTCTGAATCATGATTCATGATTCTCTACAGTGTTTTCTCTCACAAAAAATACATGTAAAACGAGAATAGTTCTGAATCATGATTCTGAATACACGAACCAAACGAACACTAAGAATGGGAAAATCTGTTCCAGTTAGTAAAGCATCCAATGGTACCATATTAGATCATCTATCCAGTCGGCTTTGGGCCACACTTGGATTGTTATGCAAATTATGATTGTCTCCTTTGCGAAAAGTTATTCCCACTATGCTCAACCATAATGACCAAAATGCCAATTCTTGTCTTGACCAACAATTAAAAGCTAAGTTCTTTGGGAGACAAAGTTTCGCATTTTAAGCAACAAACAGTTTCATTTTTGGGCATGGAGAAATTGGTCATTAGGCTCATTTTCCCAAACCGGTGGTTATGATCAAAACAGAAAAAATTTAGGCAGTGACATGAAATGGGAAAGGTGTCAAAGGCAAATGAGAAATGTAGAATTAAGGGAATTGGATGTTTTAGTTCCACCTGCTATATTTGCATGAATTTGCATTATTAGTTGCATGGGGGACAAGAAGATGGAGCCATGGATGGGCCAATCTTTGCTTTTCTTCTTCTTTTTCTGCTTGTTTTTGTTGAGGTTGTAGATATCAGAGATAATGAAAAGAAAGCAAGTGAGAAATAGATTGAACTGGACAGGTACTTATGGACAAAAAACCTATATTCCTAGCCACTTCATTCCTAACCGAGTATCCTAAACCATTATTACGTCTCCTTTTTTTTTCATTCTCTTTTTTTTTTTTTGTTGCTACTGTATTTTCATTCTATCTTAGACTTATATAAGTGAATGGATTATTAGGGGTAATTACATAAATATACCTCCTAGTTTCTATTTTTTGTCAATTTATTTTTCTATTTTTAAAAATACAAAGATCTCTATCTTTTAGATTTCGAAAGTATGTTTTAATTTTACCCCTCGTTAATCTTTTACGCCACAAACGAAACAAAAAGACAAAAATACTCTTGAATCGTGTTTGAAAAATGTTTTAAATAATTAAAACATTAAAACCATAAATACAAAACACAATTTTTTTTTTTTTCAAAGGAAAGTAGATGATATATCGCCCATGATGTGTTTGAAGGAAAATATAAAAAGTTTCTTAAAATATTTTTCAGAAACTACTTAATGTTATTTTTGTCTTTCTGCTTAGTTTTTATATTTTTGTCCAACGAGTGTAGAAGGGATGAAATTAGAACATATTTTTAACATTAAAAGATATCTTTATAGTTTCTAAAAATAGAAGAACAACTTGGGAAAAATTTAAAACTAGAAGGTATTCCAATTATTTATAATTGATGAATGAGTGAAAGACATGTATAATGTATGAGCAGTTTCTGATTAGGATTTGCCACAAAAACTGTGAATTTAGTGACTTTACTAATGATCAGATTTTTGACATGTACTGTACGTAATTATTCCTTGCATAAGTACAAAATAAATTCAGGGATAGCTATTCATTTCTTGAATGCCAGATGATGTAACAATAAACGCAAATCTCCTCCTTTCATGCAACACCGTTATATTATAAATCTACAAATCAATAAAACACCATTATAGTGTACTGGGTTGTAATTCTAGATATCATAACGCCGATATCAAAAACCAAAACTCAAGCCTTGTAATCCATTGAAGATCGTATTGCCAATATAATCGCAATAACTATTTGGCTTTACAAGAGATACTCACACGAATTTCACATCACATAAAGAAAAAATATGAGAAAAAAATAGAAAGCATAGAGATCAAGCATGATCTCTATCTACAAACAAACGTAAAATTACAAAATATATGTTAAAATAAAAAATTCTTCCAACGAGAATAATACTCTGTATATAATTTTAGCGAAATCTAATAAAAAAAATTAAGGAGACATTTAGTTCATGAATTATAATTATGAGATTATAATTATTTTTGATTTACGTGTATTTTTTATGAGAGAAAATACTGTAACAAACTACAAATTATAATTTGAATCGGAGTATAAATTTCCCAACCAAACAACTCTTAACTGTTTAAGACTAGTATTGATATCTGATAAGATTTTTTTTTTGGGTTTTTTTTTTTTTTTTTTCAAATCACGGAAATCCCCAAAAAAGCAAGATTGGAGATAATGGTCATTACAAGAATTTATAATCATCAACACTTATAAAAAGCCACAAACACCTCGAACGAACACACATAAAAAAACTACAAAGTTATTATGTATAAAAGCGAAAGTCCAACTCCAAAGGCATTAGCACACGATCCCATGACGGAAGAAACGACGACAACCATCATGGCAGCACTTGCCACCCTCACCCAATCCCAGCTCTCAGATCTCACCGCCTCCATCTCCTCCGACGTTCACCTCCACCGCCGCCGCCTCTCCGCCGTTCTCTCCTCCCCACATCTCTTCTCCCTCACCCTTCAACGCCTCCGCCTCCTCTCCCTCCCCGACAAGACCCTCCTCATCGCCAAACACCTTCTCTCCTCCCTCCACCACCTTACCCTCCACTATAACAAGTGTCACTCCGCCGTACTCAAGCCCCGTGACCTCGATGCCGTCCTCGTCCTCCTCCTCCTCTGCGATGTCCGCCAACACAGCCCCGAAGCCCTCGAAACTCCGCCGTTTCGATGGCGGGAAGTCCTCGGCAGCGTCTACGCGAGGGGGATGCTGAGTACGGCCGGGTACGGCATTGGATCGGCGGCAGCGCTGCTTCCGTACATCGAGACGGCGGCGAGGTGTCTGAGGTTCGTGGGGAATTATAATGTTAATAGTAATAGTACTGTTGTCGGGAGAGAGACGGCGGCGACAGTGGCGGCAGTGGTGGCGCTGCCGTCGGTGGGCGGCGGAGGAGGGGAGGAGTGCGTGATATGTAGGGAGGAGATGAGGGAAGGGAGGGATGTGTGTGGGTTGCCATGTCAGCACAAGTTCCATTGGAGGTGTGTTCTGCCGTGGCTGAGGAGGAGGAACACGTGTCCCTGTTGCCGGTTTCGGCTTCCCACTGATGATGTGTTTGGGGAGATCCAACGGCTGTGGGACATCGTGGTCAAGATGAGTGGGGTAGGCAAGGAGTTGATCAGTTGATATTCTAAAATTCTTCTTATAGATTGATTACACGTGTCGCGATCCGATGGCATGTGGGCCATGATGGGGTGTGCGACTGTAATATCTTGGTTAGTTGTAGATGTATATGGTGGTGGACTAATGGTGCAAGATGATTGGGCTCTCTATTTTTGGACTGATAAAGACACCTATGGTTCTGGGTATGGATGAATCAGCAGTGTATTCTGGATTTTTCTTTTTTCTTTTTTTCTTTTTTGGGTTTCCTTTTCTTCTCTTTGTATTTTGTCTTTTGATAGAAACATTGTAATAATCTATATTGACGTGGGATTTCGTAGATTCACTAGTCAATAACTCTGAAGAACCAAATTTTTGCAGATATTTTTGTTTGTCTAATGTCCAAATTTAGCGGTAATCACTCTATGAGTTAATATTGATCACTTCAGACTATCTCTATCTTAAAATATCTGGTCGCAGCCTCACAGGACTTAGGAAAAACATTCAGGGAAATCAGCAGAATTTAGTTAGAGGCACATAACAAACTTTATACAATGCAAGCCAATTCAAAGAAGGCGAAAAGAAAAGCATAGATGTAACTTGTTGTTTGGAAAAATTAGTTAAATAACCGTTTTTACCACATCTTTTCATAAATGACCGATCTTTTTTCATTTTTACGAAAGTGATCGTTTTATTTACAGGAGTCAATTAATGATTGATTACAATTAATCAATAAGTGATTAATTATAATTAATCAATGAGTGATTAATCTATTCATTATAAATTTATCAATTGTTTATCTTTAATATACCTGTAATTTATTAATTAATTACTAATTAGTTTTAGTTACTTATTAACTGATATTGATTAATAATGAAGAATTTTTGAATTAATCAGTGATAAATTAAAATCAATTATTGATAGACCGTTTAGTCAATCAGTAATTAACCGCTAAGGCAATCAATGATTGACCACTAAGTAAATAAAAACAACCATATTTACAATTTTGCAAAACGTTACCCTTAATAAAAAAATCCTTCAAAAAAGCCATTTGTGTTCAAATTAAGAAAGCATTCTAGTTAATATAACTTCTCATAAGCACTTAAGACAGAGGGTGTGTTCTTGTTACAAGGCTATATCCTTGCCACAGGTGGCGGCAGCATCAGCATTGCAGAAAAAACACATGTCTAAGTCTCTCTTAGTCACAGCCTAAGGTTTGAATTCCCACGTTCTCACTGAAAGGTGTTACAGTCTTAAAGTGGCAATACTCTGCTTATAGCGCATATAAGGGGCCAGTACCAGACGGGTAAATTCTGAATTCTGAACCGGTAGAGAATAGATTTAGATCCTTCATTCTTACAAACTAATAGAACCAACTGACTCCTTTTATAGGCGTCAGGTTAGGATGTGACGACACAAATAAGCTTTTTTTATTACCAAAAAAAATAAGGAAATATATTTTATTGTAGTACCCACAAAACTCTTTCAGCTTCAGCAATTTTCTTAGCTAAAATAAATTATTCATGCAGAATTTCACTTAGACATAAACTTCCAGAGATGAGTGGCCCAAATCAAAGCTTCCGAGAATGTAAGAATAATCGGGTGAGTTGGGGACATACCATTCCTGTGAGACAGGCATACGCATAGACCCTTTTTGTAGAAAATTTTGTGAAATACCATTTTAACAAAATAAAGGAACAATTTTAAGGTTTCGTCTCTCAAATTTGTGCCAGTTGCAATTTTCTGAAGGCTTGACGTTCTAGATGATTTGTTCTAATTATTTTGGGAGTTTCTCCGATAGTTTGCTCTATTGGTAGTTCTAATTTTTGACTGTTAAATTTAATTAAAATTGCATCAAATTAAAAAAAATATACTGAACAGACAGATTCTAGTACAATTAAAAAGTAAGGGACTATTAGTAGCTTATTTTTGTAAGGACTACAAGAGAAAATCTCAATTATTTATGTTATTTGATTTTCACTTATATTGCACTTTGCGTAATAACTATATCCGTACTACACATCCCCTGCGTTCGAATTATATTTCGAGAAAATTGTATTTCTGGATTATCATTTAGAGACTCGGAGCATATTTGTATTGTACTATATTGAAAACTTTGACTTGATTAATGCAGCTTTTATCTATTTAATCGTAATTAGTCACGAGGCCAGTTTTGGGTCGTGACAGTCAAATAGTGATAAATATATCGTCTTTCACTTCATGTTGACGACAATTGATCCGTAGATCTCAGTAAATCCATATTCTTTGCTTCGGCATTGACTAACAAATTAAAGAGGGAAGCAATAATTTTATGTTGTTTTCATTATGGAGAGAAAAAGAACATGAAGTAGGGTAACCAAAAAAAAAAAAAAAAACTATGATAATCAACGGTGTTAATAGTTTGAAAAGAAAAAAAAAATCACGTTACAAAAGAGCAAGACATTGAGGAAATCAAGTAATTAGTTAATGTGATTAGCAGGCAATGAGATTTCAAATTTACTTGGCCCCGGAAAAAAAAATTCGTGGCTAACCGAGTAGCTTTGGAAGCATGTGTAAAAGCTCGTAATGAGGGATGTGATCTTGTTCTTGAGGGTAATAAAATTATTGGTGAGGTTACTTTTGCTGGAGGAGATGCGGAAAAAGAAAGTATGCAAGAGCATGAGATAGAGAGAAATGGGGAGTCAGAGTACGTATGTTTATGGGTCTGTTTCAGATTAAGATGAGTCTTAAATGTGTTGGGCATAATTCTGAACAAGGGCAAGGGCATTTATTGCCAATTTCATTGCTTTTTGCTAAGAAAAGTCTCCTTAGATTAGTCAATGTTCCCTTAGATTATGTTGTTAAAAAATCTTAAAATATTCTAAAGAAGAGACTAATAATGTTTTTGTAATGGTCTTTTGATTCTTGTGTAAAAAAAAAAAAAAAAAAAAAAAAAAAAGGTATATTTAAAAACGATGACGTTTTGCTTTGCATGGTGCAGTATACCTAATCCACTCGAACACTTAAAGAAAATGGATGGTCTTGAATTAAGCTAATTTTCCAGTCATCTCATATACATCGTCACAAAAATTAAAATTAAAAGGGGACTCACACTCACTTTTTTAAATATATTTTTTTCAAACACTAGAAAAAATAAGACCACAGAAAAATAAAGGTGTTTATATACTTTTTTGCTTGTGATAAAGGTCGATATGACATTATAATAGAAATACTAGTTTAAGCCAATGTCTAGTAGCTTGATCTTTTTGGAAAAAAAATAGCTCTCTTGAGCAGTATCACAAACTTTACTAGAGTTGGTAGGCCTTTCATGAGCTGGTTCCGAAGACGCCATTTGAAGGGTCAACGCGTTCGAGAGCAGTCAGGCATTTGGTTGAAACTTGTAAGGAAGCAAAAGAGCTTGCTGGTCATGTTTTGCCACTTACCAGCTGCAGATCCTCAAGTAAAGTGGAAAGTTCAACCAGTTTGGTGTGCGGCGGCCAAAAGAATATGGATGACAGAGCAAGCACCATTTCCCAGTTAGTAAATCGCCTTCTATCTTATATCTTCTTGATCATTACCTTATCATATTGCTCTTGTCAGCTATTTTGCTCTGCTAGAGATATCATTGAACATGACACTCCGATTCGGGATAATGGAGAGACTCTTGTCTCAGCTGGAGGAAAATTTGAACTGGGATTTTTTACCCCTAATGGAAGCTCTAATGGGACCCGATATGTTGGAATATGGCACAAATTTTCTCCGGATACAGTTGTATGGGTTGCCAACAGAGACTATCCACTTTTCAGCTCCACTGGGGTTTTTGGAGTCCATAAAGATGGTAACCTCCATGTATTAGACAACAGTACTGGAAATTCTTGTTGGTCAACTGGGCTTGATTCATCCAGGTCCCCAAACCGTACAGTGAAGCTCATGGATTCAGGAAATTTGGAGTTAAAAGAAGGTAGTCAGCTGGGGAAGAGTTTGTGGGAGAGCTTTAAAAATCCAACCAATACGTTTCTACCGCACATGAAGATGGATGCGGACTTGAAATTGACTTCATGGAAAGAAGAAAATGATCCGGGGATAGGAAACTTCATTTTCAAGCAAGAGAGTGAAGGAGAAAACGAGTTTATCACGACAAAAAAATCAATTCCATACTGGAAAAGTGGAGGTAAATTTGCTACCTCAGATAAGATGCCTGCTGCAGTAGTTGGCATACTATTAAATTCCACCTCTAAATCAACCTCACGCTTTCGAACACTAATGATAGTGCTTAAATTTGATGGGAATATTACATTCCAGTACTGGGATACAGACAGAAAGGCTTGGGTTCCAATATGGTCGGAACCAAGAGATCGCTGTAATACCTATTATGCTTGTGGAGACTTTGGCAGCTGCAGTATTAACAATAATGGGTTGACTTGCAAATGCTTAACAGGATTCAAACCCAGCATCCCAGAGAAGTGGAATTCTAGTGATTTTTCAGGTGGCTGCACCAGAGGAACTAAATTGTGCGGTGAAAATGACAAGTTCTTGAGCTTCAAGATGAGGAACATGGGAAACCCCGAATCGTCAGGATCCCTGCCTAACAACGAAACAGATTGTAGGCATGAGTGCGTTGGCAATTGCCAATGCCAGGCTTATTTGTTTCAGGCAGCCAAAAGCAGCAAGCAGAGGGGGAGTTCTAGTTCTAGCACCGGCTCCTGCTCAATATGGCTCAGACAACTACACGATCTCCAAGAGGAGTATGCCGATGGTGGCTACAACCTCTCTGTCCGCGTAGCCTTGTCAGATTTAGGTACTGTAACCACTTGGTTTTTCAATATGCTTGAATTTTTGCAGTTGTTATATTTGTTCCTGCTTTACTCATATTGGTCAACATGCGACAGTGTTCTTAAACTGAATAAACATCTCTATTCACCCAAAGAAATAAATATGGTCCCTTATCAAAATTTTAATGACATTAAAAATGCAGAATCAACAGTAAGAAACTGCAATCCTTGTGGCACAAGTATAGTTCCTTATCCCTTGAGCACTGGACCAGATTGTGGTGATCCTATGTGTGACGACCCTCCTATGAGGCCGCCACTGTAACTTAAACTTTAACTTGTACTTACTGGGGTTTCTTAAAATTTGCGGAACATTTTTTTTTTTTAATATAAGAAAGAATACTTTCATAATTTGTAACAATAATTTCAAATAAGTGAATCACTAAATTTCTTAAAGCTTTTCTTAATTTCAGTTAAGATAAAACGTTCTAAAAATATCTTTCAAACAGAGCAGCATTTGAACTCTTATTTCAAATGCTCTTTAAAAGTCTTTCTAAAACTAGCCAATTCAATCGGGCCATTTAATTTTGACTTTAAAACGGATTTCGTGAGAAATCTTAAATTCAAGTACATCTTAAAGCCCTTTTAAAATCAATCATTTAAATCGTCATGTTTAAAATTTATTTATTTGTTGCATGCTCTGTTGCAACGTTCT